GCCTTGGAGATTGAGGCTGCAATGAGCTGTGATGATACCATTACACTCCAGTGAGACCCTGTCTCAAGATAAATAAATAAATAAAAATTTTAAAGGCAGATTAAAGGCACAAATGGTGTTTCCAGAGAAGAGTTTAGAGGGAATCTTGAGCTTCCTCTTGGAGATATTTAGTGGTTTGCTTGCATTATGTTACAGGTGGGGGTGTGTTGTAATACTTTCCTGCCATAGAAGCGATAATTTGAGAATTGAAACCTTTTTTTGGCCTGTTTTCTTTACCCCCAACTCATAGTACAGCTTTGAGAGAATCATAATACTTAAATAACTTTCCATGCTGCTGTAGCAACTCCTGTGAAATGATTTAAGGGAACTTTGTATTTTTAAAAAATAATTTATTTATAGATATATATAAGTATTAAAAGTATAATAAAATTATGGACAGGAACTATTTTTAAAACTTAATGGTAGTAATTGTCTCTACAAAGAGAGATACATAAACAAAGCAAGTATACAAATGAGGCTTTAATTTTATCTGAAAAAAAAATTTTTTTTTTTGAGACAAGGTCTAGCTCTGTCAACCAGGCTGGAGTGCAGTGGTGCAGCCACAGCTCACTGCAGCCTCAACCTCCTGGGCTTAAATGATCCTCCCACCTCAGCAGCCCCCCAGTCCCCCAGGTAGCTGGGACTACAAGTTCACACCACCACACCCAGCTAATTTGTGTATTATTTGTAGAGACAGGGTTTTGCCATGTTGCCCAGGCTGGTCTTGAACTCCTGGGCTCAAGTGAGCCTCCTGCCTCAGCCTCCCAAAGTGCTGGGATTACAGGTATAAGCTACCATACTTGGTCTTAATCAGAAATGTTTTGTCTTGAGATATCTGACACAAATATGATAAAAGAGTAATCAAATTCTAGGTTTGGGGTACATATATGTATATCATCCTATTTTATATTTCTGTATTTTTGAAATTTTTATTATAAAACAAGAATAAGCAAAAACTTGCAGAAATGAAAGGAAAACTTGATTTTAAATTACAAATATCATAAATAGAAATTACACATATTTAGTAGAAAAATGAGAATATAGTAGAATTAGATAATGCTGTAAATAAACATATACACCAAACATATTTATAGGCAAACACATACACATACATGGAGAGAGATACTTATACACACACATATGTATAAGACACAGAGAGAACATTACATTTCTCATGTAGATAGTATAAATTCTCTGAATATATAAAGCATGTATATGGCCACAACAAAGAGCTCTTACACATTTGTCAAAAAATAACAAAATGGTCCTCAAAAAACTAAAAATGGAACTACTGTATAATTCAGCAATTTCACTACTGGGTAAATATCCAAAAGAAAAGAAGTAAATACATAGAAGAGATATCTGCACTCGTGTTTATTACAGCACTATTTGTTATAACCAAAATATGGAATCAGTGGATGAATGAAGAAAATGTGGTACAGTACATATACACAATGGAATATTATTCAGCCACTAAAAAATAATGAATTCAACTAGTTGCAGTGACTCACACCTGTATTCCTAGCACTTTGAGAGGCCAAGGTGGGCAGATCACGGGGTCAAGAGTTCGAGACCAGCCTGGCCAAAGTAGCGAAACCCCATCTCTACTAAGAATACAATAATTAGCAGGATGTGGCAGCGCGTGCCTGTAATCCCAGCTACTCAGGAGGCTAAGGCAGGAGAATCACTTGAACCCGGGAAGCAGAGGTTGCAGTGAGCTGAGATTGCACCACTGCACTCCAGCCTGAGTGACAGTGCAAGACTTCGTCTCAAAAAAAGTAAAATAAGATAAAATAAAATAATAATGAAATCTTACTCAAGTGTGGTAAGCATGTCTCTAGAGGCTGAGGCAGGAGGATCTCTTGAGCCCAGGAGGTTAAGGCTGCAGTGAGCTGTGATTGCACCATTGCACCCCAACCTAGGCAACAGAGCAAGACCCCATCTTGGGAGAGAAGAAGGGAGGAAGGAAGGGAAGGAAGCAAGGAAAGTAGGGAGGGAAGGAATGAATTCTGTCATATGCAGCAACATGGATGGAACTAGAGCTCATTATGTTAAGTGAAGTAAGCCAAACACAGTAAGACAAATGTCACATGTTCTCATTCATATTTGGGAGCTAAAAAAAAGTGGATATCATGAAAATAGCGAGTAGATGGGTGGTTAACAGAGGCTGGGAAGGGTAGGGAATGGGGGCATAGAGAGAGGTTGATTAATGGGTATAAATACACAGATAAAAGAAATAGTAGTGTGCCATAGATCAGTAGGGTGACTATAGTTAATGATAATCTATTTTACACTTCAAAAAAGTTAGAAGAGAATAATTTGAATGTTCCTAGCATAAATCAAAGATAAATATTTAAGGTGATGCATAACCCAATTACCCTGATTTGATCTTTATACATATGAACATGTCAAACTATCATATGTACCCTGAAAATATGTACATCTATTATGCATCAGTTTTAAAATAAAACAGGCAAAGGATATGTATAGACTTTATAGAAAAGCATATCCAGTAATGCAGTGTAGTTAACAAAATAAATTAAAAAAGAAAGAAAAGCATATCCAGGGCCGGCACAGTGGCTCATGCCTGTAATCCCAGCACTTTAGGAGACTGAGGCAAGCAGGTCATGAGGTAAGGAGTTCAAGACCAGCCTGGCCAACATGGCGAAACCCCTACTCTACTAAAAATACAAAAATTTGCTGGGCATGGTGGCAGGTGCCTATATTCCTAGGTACTTGGGAGGCTGAGGCAGGAGAATTGCTTGAACCCTGGAGGTGGAGGGGGCAGTGAGCCGAAATCATGCCATTGCACTCCATTCTGGGTGACAAGAGCAAGACTCCATCTCAAAAATAAAAATAAAAAAATAAAAATCCAGATAGCCAGCAAGTTCATGAAAGGATGTTAAGTTTACTAGTAGTTAGAGACACAAGTTAAAGTAATAGTGAGACACCATTTTAACCTGTTAGACTTTCCAACACTTAAAGAGTAGGTGATCCTGAAAACATAGTGCTGAGTGAAAAGCAACAAATCTATGACAAGTCCCATGTATACAAATCAGAAGGCATGCATACAACAAACGTGTTAAAGGAAATACACAATGAAAAGTTACACATTGAACATTAGAATGGTTTCCTAGAATGGTGAGGAATGGAAGTGGGAAATGGAGATAAGAAGGTAACAAAAAATGAATGAATAAATAAACATAAAATAATAAAACTAGCTGTAATACCTATTGCTGGAAGGATGTAGAGGAAAACGAGCCTTCTAACACTACCAATAGAAATATAAAGTGTTTTCCAGACTTTCTGAAAAATAGCCTGACAATATATCCTTGAAATAGTGGTAATGCTTGTCAGCATGGGGGTCACTAATTAGGTGATCCATACTGTGAAATATGATGTGGCCATTCAAGGATCATCAGAACTGTGCTTAATGCCTTGAAGGGATTTAATTAGATATTGAATGGAAGATGGTGTAGAAAAGTAAGTGTACGGTGGTGGTCATTTGTGGGGAGACAATGACCCCTCCCCCACACAGGCCTTTCTCTGTGTACAAGCACAGAGAAAAATAAGAAAGAATATATGCTACATTGGTGTGGAGAGCTAAACTAATGGAGGGGGAGGAATAAGAGAGGAAACTGTAGGCAACCAAAAGTAAAAATTAAAATTGCACTAAAAAATTAATCACAGGTGGATGGGCATGGAGGCTCATGCCTGTAATCCCAGCTCTTTGGGAGGCCAAGGCAGGCTGATCACAAGGTCAAGAGATCGAGACCATCCTGGCCAACATGGTAAAGCCCTGTCTCTACTGAAAATACAAAAATTAGCTGGATGTGGTGGTATACACCTGTAGTCCCAGCTTCTTGAGAGGCTGAGGCAGGAGAATTTCTTGAACCCGGGAGGCAGAGGTTGCACTGAGCCAAGATCTCGCCACTGCACTCCAGCCTGGGTGACAGAGTAAGACTCAGTCTAAAAAAAAAAAAAAAATTAATTACAGGTATAAGATCACAGTCATGAATGTAAAATTTTGTATATGTGGGGATATTTGTACACAGAAATTAATAAGATTTTTGTTTGTTTAAAGTATGAATTTTTCAGATGGTTGAATTTCAGTCCACAGATAGATATGTTGGTCGTAAGATTCTTGGTTGTTGTTGCCTGATAACTCTCCTCTCTGCATGTACAATGCCGGCACTAAGTTTGATATCTCTGTGATTTGTATTATTTGCAGAATCTTTGTGGTTATGGTTCTTTCTCTAGTGATTTCATTATACACGTAATTTTCAAGAAAAATAGTGAAAACAAGTTTGCTGGATTAACAGATAAAACTTTTCAATTAGTGGGTCCCAGTATAATGCTTATTTAGGAATATGTGTCTTAGGAATTAGAAACTTAGGAAAAACACTCTTGTTGGTCATTTAAAATGCATTTTGGTACATGAGGTATGCATTAAAAAAAATTTAGAGGAAGAGCATCTTGTCTATAATTTAATGCAGACTAGGCTTTTGAAACTTACAGAGCTAGAGTTTTAAATATAGTATTAATGTAAGATGTATATACTTTTTATGAGACAGGATCTTGTTCTGTTGCCCAGGCTGGAGTGTAGGGGCACAATCACAGCTCACGGCAGTCTCAACCTTCTGGGCCCAAGTAATCCTCCCCCCCTCAGCCTCCCAAGTGGCTGGGACTACAGGCCCACACCACCATGCCTAGCTTATTTTTTTATTTCCTTTTGTAGAGACAGGCTTTCAGCATGTTGCCCAGGCTGGTCTTAAACTCCTGAGCTCAAGCAATCCTCCTGCCTGGGCCTCCAAAGTGTTGGGATTATAGGTGTGAGCTACCACACACAGCCAAAACGTACACTTGTATGAAAGGGCTAAGTGCTAACAAATAGCATTAAGGCAAGTGTTAGGAATCAGTGTAGGCCCAATGTGATTTACTGTATTGTATTTGTATTTCAGATGCCTTTGGTGCTTCATGAAGAATATTTCCAGATATATCACAGACATTAAGCCTTTGCCTCCCAACATAAAAGATAGACTGATTAAAATAATGAGCATGCAGGGGCGGATAACAGACTCAAATATAAGTGAGGTAAGAGTATGAATAACTGTAAAGCAAGTGTGTTATATTTTCTGTTTAGATATGCTTTTAGATTTTTGGAACAATGGTATATGGTAAGACTGGTAATCATTTTTAATTTTTTTTGTTTGTTTGTTACAGGATCTTGCTCCATTGCCCAGGCTAGAGTACAATGGCAGACTCTCAGCTTACTGCAGTCTCCATTGCCTGGGCTTAAATGATTCCTCTTCAGCCTCCTGAGTAGTTGGGACTACAGGTGTGCACCACCATGCCTGGCTAATTTTTTGCATTTTTTTGTAGAGATAGGGTTTCATCATCTTGACCAGACTAATCTCAAACTCCCGAGCTCAAGTGATCCACCTGTCTCAGTCTCCCAAAGTGCTGGGATTATAGGTGTGAGCCACTGTGCCTGGCCCACATTTTAGAATATTATAAAGTATCAGAGTTTGTTTTATTTTCTCCAGATAACCAAAATGTCCACATGTAACAGTTCCCAGAAAATCTCCTTCCACTATTGTCTCAGTCACTTCTCTCATGTCAACCACAGTCACGGAGACTGAAAATCCAAGCAAAAAGGTTTATTGGTGGTTTTAGAATTGCAATTCAAGGAACACAGACTCCACAGGCATCTGAAATCATGTCCTAACTATTTAATTCACATGTCCTAAGAGATATATGAGGTCTTTTAAAGAAAAAGATGGGGAAGGATTATCAAACAATTCATTAGTTAGAATAAGGGTTTCTAGGCAGAAGTCCTTGATTTGGGGTTTGGAAAAAGTTCAGTCATCAGCTTATCATAGTCTTTTCATAAGTAGCAGCAATTTCATCTGCAGCATCAGCAAGTACATTCTACGGTCAAGCAGCTGCAGAATGACATTCAGGAAGTAAATGATGTTGCTCTGATCAGCTCCCATTAGCCTTCCATGCACTCTTGTTTTCGTGGTACCTGTACCCTTGACCTCCATGTTTTCAACAAGTTGTAGAACTTTTTGGTCAAGACTCACATCAGAAATATATGTTACACTGTGACTCTAGTACACAAACCACACTTACGTGTAACAGTATAATGTGTAGTACATTTGGTCTTTTCTATTTTATTTTTTCTACTTAGTCTTATTTTATTTAAAAAATGTTGATCACAGTCTGCTAAACTGATTTTGTAATCCATTCATAAATAATAACCGGTAGTTAAAAATCACTGTTCTCAAGCAGTGGCTCATGCCCGTAATGTCAGCACTTTGGGAGTTTGAGACCAGCCTGACCAACATGGAGAAACCCTGCTTCTACTAAAAAAAAAAAAAAAAAAAATACAAAATTAGGCAGGTGTGGTGGTGCATGCTGGTAATCTCAGCTACTCAGGAGGCTGAGGCAGGAGAATCGCTTGAACCCAGGAGGTAGAGATTGCGAGAGCCAAAATTGTGCCATTGCACGCCAGCCTGGGCAACAAAAGCAAAACTCTGTCTTTAAAAAAAAAAAAATCTATCACTCTTCTCATTTACACTGTTCTTTTTCCAACTGCTATATTTTTCATATTTAGTATTTCCAATTTACCATTTTATGGTTTCTTGTTTTATCTTGTTAGTCTTTTCTCATTTATTTTAGCATACTATTATGCTTATTAATAACTTTAGCCCCTGTGTTCTAAATCCTCTGCTCCTGATGGAATCAGTAATCTTTGTTTTTCTTTTGAAATAGTGATACTCTCTAGGTGTCTTGTTCTGTCCTGTGAGCATATCTGTGTAGACTCTCTGGTAGTAGCAAGAGTAAAGGAGGCCAGATCCTCCCGTGGTGCTTCTTGGAGGGCTATATGTTCTGGGCCATAAAGAAAGGCAGACCTATAGCTTATCTGCTTCCTCTTTTTATTTATAAACAAGACTGTATTAGCCCTACTGAGCTGACATAGCAGGTGGAGGCCTGGCGAGAGGCTGGAGGGATGAGATTCAAGGCAGAGAACCCCAAGCACCAGGAAAAGACAGTTAATCACTCTTCCTTCTGCTAAACAGCCTTTCATATTAGGGCTTAACCTTCAGCCCCTGATTTTTAAAGGTTATTAAATAACAGAGTAGATAATTTCCTTTGCTATTACTCCTGTGTTATCTTTTGTTTTTTTGCTATTTGTGTTTCAAAAACTGAAAATGCTAGTTAGCAATTTCTACACTACCTATATTTAACTATTGTCTTTGGGTTTGCAGCCATCACCACTCTGCAGTCATCACCATCTAGTCTGCAGAGACTAGAACTGCTAATTGCTGTTGAGGGTGAACAGCAACTATCCGGGCTGGTGAAATGGTGGGAAAATAATTTACCAAGACAGTTATAGGTAAAGAAAGGCAGATTTATTAGAGAAAATATGACAATACATTGCAAGGGAGCAACGGGCAGAGCCAGCAAGAGAGGAGCCAACTGCCAGGAGACAAAGGCTTGCTGGGGATTATGCTGAATGGAACTTGGGCTGATTGACAACACCAAGGTAGCAGGGAGCTAACTGGCATCCGTCTGTCAGCCGAGGTGTTTGGTGATAAGCAAGAAGTTTGTAAGTTACTTACTTGTCTGCACAGGAGGGCTATATGTTCTGGGCCACAAAGAAAGGCAGACCTATAGCTTATCTGCTTTATGTTTTTATTACCCTGGTCCTGCCAGCCTGACTTCTTTTCCATAATTAGGACTCCACAATTTCTCTGACTTCACCTTACCTTCTACCTAATGCCCATAATCAAAACTAAAATTAAGCAAGCTCTGATGATAGCACTCCAGCATGTTTTTCTGTGGTGGTTGGTTGTTTGTTTGAGGCAAGATCTCTGTCACCCAGGCTAGAGTGCAGTGGCATAATCATGGCTCACTGCAGCCTCCACCTCCTGGGCTCAGGTGATCCTCCCACCTCCTGAGTACCGAGGTCTATAGGTGCCCACCACTACACCCAAATAATTTTTGTATTTTTTGTCGATACAGAGTTTCACCATGTTGCCCTGGCTGGTCTCAAACTTCTGGACTCAAGCAATCCGTCCACCTTGACCTCCCAAAAATCTGGGATTACAAGTGTGAGCCACTGCCCCAGCCCACATGGTGGAGCATGTGACTAGCCCTGTGACTTGACATTGGAATTGCACTTCAACCTGTCCCTAACGTTTCTTCTGCATTAACCTGATATACCTTTATTATAATGCTTTTTTTTCTTCATGTTAGCTTGCATTTGAACATAGACATCTTAGTGGTGTAGTTTGCTTGGCTCTGTGGAAGTAGAATCATATTTCCAGGTTCTTATTGTTGGTGGTTCTGTTGAAGTATGTAATGTTATGTGTGACTCATAGATGAACCATTATGACACTGTGGAAAAATGGTGGTTTTCTTCACTTTTCCACCATCCTCATTTCTTTCTATCCCTTTAGCTTACACTTCAATGACTTAGGTTTTCGTTTGATGGCAATCCCTACCATTTTTGAAACCTTATTTTAGCTAAATAAAAAGGAGAAGTAAAGAGAGTGAATGAGCTAGAAAAACAAGACATGATTTTTCTGGATATTCTCCCTCTAGTCTCTACCCTTAATGAGAGTCCTGCTTATGACATTATTCAAAAAGCCAGATACAACATCTGTTACAAAGTTACACACATCTTTGGATGGCTGTTTTTGAAGTATTTCCTAAATCTTTTTATATTCTCTGAATGGAGAAGTCCTTTTTAAACAGGATACCAAAGTTGGAAACCAAGAAAAGAAGACATGGATGGATTTGATTACATAAAAATACAGATTTCCTTAAGGCAAGAAGAAAAAAGAAACAAAGTCAAACACTTGGAAAAATATTTACAATATCTATGAAAATCTAAGGGCTTTTTTATCTTGATAATATAAAGAATTCCTTCAAACCAATAAGAAAAACAAAACAACCAAATAAAAAACCAGAAGAATCAGGAAATACTCAGAGGAAAAAATACAAATCTCCAATAACATATCAAAGGATATTTAACCTCACTAGTCATCAATGTGACAGTTTGCCTTTCAGTATGGCAGAGACTTAAGAAAAAACCCAAAACCCAATGTTAGCAATAGTGTGGAGAAACTGTCACTTTTATGTCCTACTAGTGAGAGTGTAAATTGATTTTAAAATAACCTTTTAGAAGGACAGTGGCATTAACTGTCAAAAGATCTACAGATTTGCTTATTATTAACTCAACAATTTACGTCCTGTAGAAATCTCAGGAAGATAATAGAAAAGTACACAGGTATAGTCATTATAATATCATTTGTAATAATAAGCATAGTTTTGTATAGCATATGTTATAAGCAAGACACCTTTATTTCTCACAACATATCATCTGTTTTAATAATAAGGCTAGTGAAGCACAGAGAGAAAACTGAGCTTGATCACAATCATAGAGTTCCAGCTTGGGCAGTCTGCCTGCAGAACACATGTTCTTAATCACGGCACAACATTGCATCCGTAAAACAACCTAAATGTTCAACTCAAGTGTTTGCCAGTGCATTTAATAAGTTACGGTACTTGCTGAAAATGGAATAGTATGCAACCACAATCTATTGATTTCATAAAAAAGGGCTCATCTTATATGTGATCTGATCCTGTTGTTCTTCAAAGAGTTTTTTAAACTCAAAAAAACATCAAAATGAATATATGCAGCCACAAAATCTTGTCCTTTACAGCAACATGGATGCAGCTGGAGGCCATTATCCTAAGTGAATTAATGCAGACACAGAAAACCAAATACCACATGCTCTCACTTATAAGTGGGAGCTAATCATTGGGTGCACACAGACATAAAGATGGAAACAATACACACTGAGGACTTCAAAAGGGAGGAAGGAGGGAGGGAAGCAAGGGTTAAAAACCTACCTGTCAGGTACTGTGTTCACTGTTTGGATGATGGGTTCAATTGAAGCTAAACTTTAGCATCACACAGTATATCCATGTAACCTGCACAGGTACCCCTGAATCTAAAATTTTTTAAAAATGAATATAATTTTATCTCTGGGTATTGGTATTATAGATAATTTTAGCTATAGGGGTTAAAAATATAGGCTTTGGAATTTAAAGGACCTGGATTCCAATCCTACCTCTGCTCCTTTTGGCTATGTTCTTTATGTAGGCTACTAGCTCAGGGTCTCAATTCCCTATTTGTAAAATGACAATGACCAACCCCTTAGGGTAGAAGAGAGAGAGAGAATATTAAATAACATAATATATATGACACTTAGTACCCTTCTTGGTAAGCACTTAATAAATAGAAAAATAAATAAATAGAAAGTTATTATAACTTACTATAGTTTTTCTATATTGTCTGAATGTTTTTTGTTTGTTTTTGGTTTTGTTTTTGTTTTTCTGAGACAGAGTCTGGCTCTGTTGCCCAGGCTGGAGTGCAGTGGTGCAGTCTCAGCTCACTTCAACCTCTGCCTCCTGGGTTCAAGCAATTCTCCTGCCTCAGCCTCCTGAGTAGCTGGAATTACAGGTGTGCCACCACACCTGGCTATTTTTTTTTTTTTTTTAGTAGACATGGGGCTTCATCATGTTGGCCAGGCTGGTCTCAAATTCCTGATATCACATGATCCACCAGCCTCAGCCTCCGCCTCCGCCTCCCAAAGTGCTGGGATTATAGGCATGAACTACTATGCTTGGCTTATTGTCTGAATGTTTTACAATAATAATACATTATTTTTATTTTCAGAAAGGTGAAGCCATTTCTATTTTGGAAAAAAATAAAGAACAGAAAAATACTCCTAGGAAAGATCTCAAAATGCTTAGGAATTAACCTATTTGTCAACCTTAAGAAAACACCCAATAATTCTAGAATTGTTTGTATTAGATCCCAAAAATAATGATATATGTTAGAAATAAAGCTTGGAGTTGTAAGGAAAAGTGAGTACTCAAAGGATTTTTCAGTAAAGTAAATTTACTTCTGTGTAGAAGGGTGCCTTTTGTAAGGCTGGCCACGAGAGCACCCCAAATAAAGGCGAATAGAAGCTTTTATTTCCAATGCAACTCTTGTCTCTGTGTCCTTTCCCCATTGGCTGGGGTCGAACTGCACAATCTACATTAGACCCGATTGGTTAAACATTTAAACTACTTTAGATAAGGTGGACCCATGACGGTAGAGAGGGGAGAGGAGGAAGGGGTTGTCTGTGGTGGACTAGAGACTCAGTCTTTTTTTAAATAAGTGTAGGAATATGAGCTGGTGCTGATAACTCCATGGTGTTGTGGCAGGTCTGGGCATGCAGTAAAATCAGAAAGAAGAAAAGAAGAAAGTAGGGGGAGGTACTGGGAATTGAATAAAAGGTTGAGCAGGCTGTTTGAAGAGAAACCTTACGGCCGGGCATGGTGGCTCACGCCTGTAATCCAAGTACTTTGGAGACCAAGGCGGGCAGATCACCTGTGGTCAGGAGTTCAAGACCAGCCTGACCAACATGGTGAAACCCCATCTTTAAAAAAAATAAATAAATAAATGAGAAACCTTGCCATATCTCACAGAAGGCAAATATTCTAGATAAGCAATTCTAGTGCTCTGTAAGCATGGTACACAAGTGATTAAAGACTCAAACTTCCTAAGCCCAGAGGCTCATAGGGAGAGTCTCTAATGACAGCAGCTACCAGAGGATTATTACTCACTGCCACATTGGTTAAGCTTCTCAGGTCTATGGATCCTTTCCCTGAATAAGCCATCTCAGCAGTGCTTTTTGTCCCAATAAGGACTTTGCTAGCAGTGAAAGCTGCACCTCCAGCTGGAGGTTGACTTGGTTTTCTCCTGCTTTATGTGTCTGTCTCCACATGGATATACTTCTGTATTCTTTGCTGTATTTTACATCAGCCACTTGTCTGTTATGACCACCAAAACACTGAATATGGAATAAATGTATTTATAGAAAGAAATAATCGGCTAGCTGTGGTGGCTCACGCCTGTAATCCCAAGAGTTTGGGTTGGGAGGCCGAGATGGGCAGATCACGAGGTCAAGAGATGGAGACCATCCTGGCCAACATAGTGAGACCCCACCTACTAAAACTGCAAAAATTAGCTGGGCATGGTGGCGCGCACCTGTAGTCCCAGCTACTCGGGAGGCTGAGGCAGGAGAATTGCTTGAACTAGTTGAGGTTGCCATGAGCCAAGATCACAGCACTGCACTCCAGCATGGTGGCAGAGTAAGACTCTGTCTCAAAATAGTAATAATAATAATAATAATAATAATGATAAAAGTTTAAAAAGAAACAATTTTTCAAAATCACTTATTTGTTACAGATTTTACATCCTGAAGTCCAAACTCTAGACCTACGGAGCTGCGACATATCAGATGTTGCTCTCCTGCACCTGTCTACCTGTAGAAAACTGAAGAAATTAAATTTAAATTGTTCAAAAGGGAATCGAACTTCCGTAACTTCAGAAGGTATGTTTATTAATACTGAGTACATTAGTAGATTACTATTCACTGTCTGGTAAAATTGTGGAGTAAGGGAGAAAATACGTCAAAAGAGAGTATGAAGATGTCAAAGAAATACGAATTATATTTATCAGTAAAAAGATTCAAAGAAAATAATCCACGTTAGAATTCTTTTTTTTTTTTTTTTTT